AAAGTGATTCTCTTGGAAAGTATTCTAGGTTACTTAACATCATCTTTTCACAGAAACTGCAATTACTAATGATAACATCACAGTCAATTAAGCTAAGAACGAATTTCAATCGGTAAGGAATGTTCTCCAATTACCGGTAATCGGCGGTTGCTCGATCGTCTAAGAAAAACCTTTAATTCTTAAATATGATATGAACTTTTCGTAAATAATCACCTGCTGCACCATCTTGATCTTGATTCGTGTTATATCTGAAAAAGAGAGAACGACGTTATTAAGTTAATTTAAAAGAAACTGAATGATGTAGTTTAGCCGAGTGCAGGTTCAGCAAATCATGAATCATTTAAGATCATCTTTTCATGGAAACTGCAATTACTATCAGAACATCACAATCGATTAAGCTAGGAATGAATTTCAATCACGTCCTTGGCAAGGAGGCAAGGAAAGTTCTACAATTATCGATATATGGCGGGTGCTCGATCGTCTTCGAAAATCCTTTAATGCTCAAATTTTAATATTGATCTTTTCATTAATTAATAATCACCTGCTTCGCCATCCTGATCTTGATTCGTGCTATCTGAAAAAGAGAGAACGACGATGTTATTCATTAAATTTAAAAGACACTGTCTGATGTGTAGTTGAGCCGTGTGCAGACATAGTTAAATATGGTGCAGATTAACATGAGTACTCCTTGAATGAGACAGATATTCGTAAGATCTCTTCAGCACTTGTACCGTACACAAGTGAGTAAAGACTCGATTGAACTCGGGCCAGACCCCGCCACTTGCGCATCGTCGCTCGCGTGGAGCTCGCGTGTCATCCTCTCGCGGGTTGAAGCATGAAGTACCGCAACGTACTCTATCTCCAAACTTCAGCATACTTTTCAAAATTAAGTCGGAAAACTTGGTTCGAATTTTCCAGTAATCCTCGTTAAAATTTTATCGGGACTGCTGTTGCGGCTTGGACATGTCTTGTCGTTATGCAAATGTTATTTTTTTCCCTAGGGCCTTTTCTAACTGTGAAGATGACTTGCCCTTTTCGTTAAGAGTTATCTTACCTCGATCTAATCGCATGAACACTCTAGAGCGGCTTTTGAACATTGCCTTCATAGTATCCCCCCACTTATCATCCCACGTGCCAGCCAGGGTCAACAGGTTAGAACCACTGACAGTGGCATTCATGCTTGTCAAAATAACGATTAACTTTGATTTGATGCGTGCGAAATCAAGCACCCTCCTGGCATATAAACCCTCCTTCTTACCAGATTTAATGGCGGGTGTTAGGCGTTTTTGTATTATGGGCACGGTAGCCAGAAAAACGGACAATTCTTCAACTTGGCTGTGCTCGCAAGCATATGTATGACTTGCAGCAAGAAAAAATGCTTGCGTATCAAACCCTATTAATATCTCGTGGTAAAATAATTTTTCCGTACAGAGAGTTGGATGTGTCTGATACTTGACGGCAATTCTAAAGACTACTCTGATTGTGGGATGTTCTAAGCTAGTAGAGGTGGGCGTATTCCAGGGGGGCAATCTTCAAAAGGATCGTAACCTCTGACAAACCATAAGCAGATAAATAGATGAGACTTGGCGAGCCCGGAAATTGATAGATTTCCTTTAAAAGTTATCAAGAAGTTGCTACAAAACTAAGTTTTCAAACAGAAGCCTCCGTTTGAAATGAAAATGACAGTGCACTTACTCACCTTCGATTTGTGCTTGAATTGACTTTCGTTACACTTGACCACGTACACACGCCCGCCAAATGGGGTGACTGGTCTATCTTCTATATCTCTCTTACAAATGAAGCGGAGCGTGGCAAACACACGTCCAACGGTGTTTTTTGTCAATCCAACCATGGAAGAAACTCTAGAGCGCAACTCGCGCTGACTCCACAGATAGATCACAATTAGGAGTTTTTTCAGAGGAATCCGGGGAAACTCGGCGAAAAAACTGCCTTCTCTCAGAGACTTTTTGCCTCTACAGCCTTTGCATCTCCTTATAAAGAAAAATATTTAATNTTACACTGTGGTCATTGCAGCAATAGTTCTAATATAGCTATGTTTTCGGAAAGTAATTCTTTACAATCGTTTTATATTACGTCAAATAAAGTGATGCACCACAGGCAGATGTGAAAACGTTTAGTTTCTTAATTAACAAAATTGATAATGTCAAAAAAACATTTCTGGTACTATGCGATCATAAAACTGATTCTTGTCCATGTTATGTGATCCATCATATGGCACTAGTTCATTAGGCCGTGTCCACTGGCTTTATCTTATTCCCAGAGTATCAGGCCCGTATTTCCTCATTTCTCTAATCTCGAGTAAATCGCTTCAACCACAAAATCAAGGACTGTTTTCCAAAACTCAACAATTTATTTCAACCTTTTTCAACCTAGAGGTCACGTAAATCCCATGACCTAACCTTCACAAATGCAACGGGACGCAATGCGCACAGAAAAGTTTAAAAAGAATCGAAAAAAGAATTAATAAATAAGCAAAATGTCAATGTTCAGCTGCTGCAGTCTAATGAATCAAGATGTTTTGTAATTCTATACAAGATGCAAGCATTCTGCACTCCCTTTGGACCACAGCTTTGCAACCAAGTAGGCTCTCTTTCACTCTTCTGACATCTTGTGATTGGCTTCAATCAAAAGACGACGAAAGCTTGGTGGAGTGGCTTCATTAAACAAATAAATAAGATGAGCTTTTTCACAACAAGGTGAAGTAGATATTACGCAATTCTCACCACCCAAACTGGAGGTCTATGCGTGTAATATTCCCGTTCTCTCACCTGTCCAGCTTGCCTAATCCTAATCTTTGAGGAACCTAAACCTAAAACAGTGGATGGTTCAGAACCACACTTTTTCACTTAAGGTGGCCGAACACAGTTTTCGCGCGCGCTTTTGCTGATACAATTGAGCGCGCGCACAAGGATTGCAAAAAACAAAACATTTTGTCAATAGAGCAGTCATTTTATTTACTCAACACGTATCCGCACTATCTTTGCTATTTTTCTCTATAGTTAGCGCGAGCATTGAGGGCTTTAATCTTTTATTACAATGGCATCTTAAAAAAATTTAACGGTGCAAAGAACCCTGCAATTCTCAGCTTTTTCGTCGTTACCGAAAGAACCCAGTTAAATGCAGCGCATGCGTAGTAAGTAAAAAAATTGCGATTGAATGGAAAACTGCTTTCTCAGAAATATGCCTATTTCTTGAGAACCACTTAGAATTTCACAAAATTTGGCACGAAAATACTTCACGAAATAAGTAAATGAAGTATTGAAAAAAAATTATTTTTAACTGAAGGAAATTCTAGATAATCGAGGGAACCTTCAACAGGGAATAATCAAAGATCTTTCTGTTAAATTGTTAGCAAAATGGAGTTAACTTGTGAGTATCGTCACAAGCTCGTTGCATGCAAATTGTAAAAGAAAATCTAATGACTAGATTTTCTACAAATAAACAAAACCGATTTTAAAGGCCTGTTTATATTTATTCATTTCGCCATGGCAACGGCACCTACGTCAGTTTGCCTATCGAAAAAACAAAGTTTATGTTGTTGACTTGCTTGCTGCCAGTTTTGGCGACCGAGAGATCAAGGGTTTTAGAGAAAATGATGAATGAAACACAGGTATCAAAAACTGTGTTCAGCCCGGCCTTAAAACGTACTTGCAAAATACACAACCCACACTTTATAACATTGTGTTAGAGAAACTTGGATCAACTTTATTCACGACAGGTACCTATTTATTGTTATATTTTTTGGGTAAAAAAATTGGCTTGAATTTGAGATACAATGTAATAACATTCGCTCAACATAATTTATTTGTACATTTCTCCATAGTTATAGCATAAATAAAAATACAATTCTATAAATATACCATTATCATTATGTAAGAGTCATATAAAAAACGAAATGGTTTCAAATATTATACAGGCTGTTGTGACAAATATGAATCATGACAGTCGAAGTCAAAAATATAAATTTCTACCAAGTCATTTTGTTCCATTCTGAAATATTAACAGTTTTTGTCTTCTAATACTATTTTAGATACGCATATTTTCTTGAAAGAAAAACGTAACCGTAAAGCATATGTTCTGGTGTTGGATCGTTCCTCGTGTTCTCAAAACAAGTGCAATTTTTATGAGAATTGTTTGGAGAGCTGCGATAAACACATTTTTGGACTTTGGAGTTGAAAATCATGGTTTCTTTACGCTTCCAAGAACTTTCTTTCTTCATTTAAATAATCTGTATTGTGCCTTTAAAGATACACCTTTAAATATGACATAATTTGTGACAGTTTTTTATTTAAACTTAATTTTTGGTCCTTGAAGTTTAAAATAATTCTTACGTTTCAATAAACGTCATTCTTCTAATTAAATACTCTGTGTTTTGCATTGCGAATGCACTTTATAAATATCCTATAATTTCTGGGGCTTTTTCATGGACTTACACGCCGAGCAATTTTCGCAAGTCCCTTAAAGCCAATTTTTATTTTTTCTTAGTGAATTTTAAAATTGAGGATTGACAGGGAAGCTTGGCTTTTGACAAGATAAATAACAGATCCAAGATGTGCAAGACATGGCACAAACAAATGCATCTTGCAAATGTCACATACGATTAAAAGACTGACCAGACTGACTGTCAGGCCCGGATGTTGTCTGTTCCTGCAAGCATTTACTGCCACATATCTCCTTGCAGACCAGTGGTATCCACAGTTATCTTGACAAACATTGTATCGTTCCTAATATAGCCACCTTGTCTCAGTTCAACATGAGAAATGAACGTGGGGCATCCAGATGCTATGTTCATGTCTGATGTAGGTCTCTTAAAGCTTGAGCTGTTAGGCTCCGGGCGAAAGGCATCATACGTGTCCCGAATCCTATCCTGATCTATCAATCGAAAGTGGACCTTTTGGAGAAACAGCCAAGGTAATAAAGCATCGTATTCACCTTTCATGACAACGAAGAACATGGAAATATGCGTTCCTTTGCCAATGCCGTCTCCATTTGGGTAGAGACGAGCACAAACTTTATATCCAAATCGTCCTACATAAAAAGCAGGGCTGTAAATAGATAAAGTCTTTCCGGCGACAGCTTCATGGAAGCGTTGCCTGTAGCGGTCGATCTTCCAAAAGTAGGTGCCATTGTACGACGTAGCCTCCAGCATTTGAATCTGCATATCATGATCGGACAGTTGGATGTCGTGCAGTGCTAATTGGTGCTCATTCCTTTCCAGTCGGCGATCGTACTCACGAGCGAGAGACACGGCGGAGTTTGGACGGCAATCACTGGCACCTTTCGGAGAGGCAGGGGATAATTTCAAACGGGCTACTTCACCATGTAGACTGCTCACCTTCTTGTCGTGTTCTCGCAGTGCGTTCATTATTTCTTCCATCTGAGATGAGACAACATCCCCTTTAGTTCTAGATTCCTCAAAAACCTTTAAATCACCGAGCAGCTTTTTAGTGGTCCTCTTTTGTTCGATCATGGAGTTTTCTACCATAGACAACTTTGTCTGGTGCGTTCGTATATTTTGTCTTGCTGCTGCCAGCTCCTCTGCTTGATTTTGTAGTTGATGCTCCAAAGCAGTTTTCTCTTCTTCAAGACGACATATCTTCTCTTCCATCTGTTTTGATTTCTCCTTACATTCATGGCTCGAGTAGTTCATCATTTCCAAATGAGACTCGATATTCTCCACAATGTGTTGATCAATTGTTTCTTTGGTGCCCTGTAAAAAATAAAATGAACAAATACATGTTCATGTTCTTCCATAAACTCATGTCTAGCATTAAAAAACGCACCAAACATCTGAAAAAAACCGACTTCAATTGTGACAATACAAATAACATAAGTTTCTATTGATATTGGCTTCCGATTCTTTATTTTCTACTCATAGATCTTTTCTCGCTCAGACAGTAGTAGTTAAATGACCTATTGCGAAGAAAGATAAAACAAAATAGACCAAAAGTAGTCATGTAACTAACCTTAAATTCACAGCCATGAACACTGAAAGGACACAAATGTTCAGCTCTAAGACAAAATGTGGTCACGTGTTCTTCCATCGTGTCTCTTGGTATACCTTCTTCACCACAGTTTAAGATGCACTGGATAGGAAACTTAGGGCAGACATCCAAATGGTCCTTCATAAGACAAAATACAAGTCGAAGTCAAGTTGAGCTTTTATGCGATTGAGACGATACAATTACTATGTTAATAATGCTCTGGTTTAACAAAACGCTTAACTGATCATTACAAAACTAAATTGATGCATATTTTCGACAAAGGCGAACTCAATACATAGGTGTATGCACTGACATGAACCTCAATTGGCATTTCTCTACCTTCATATTGTAAGACACACGTCGAGCCTGTCAGTGGTAATCCATAGTTTTCTTGCAGATATATATTTTGCTTATTTTGTCTTTGTTTTAACGATCTAGCTGATCATCTTACCTTCATATTATTATGCCGTACTTTACCACCACAGTACGTGCACGCCACAGCTCTGTTGATGCAATCATGCTCCCTGTGCGCCTTGAGATGTCTTCTCTCCACAGTTTCACCACACGCTTGACATTCAATAGCACCGTGCTGGCAGCTATCTTCGTGTGCCTGTCAAAAAATGTAGGGGATATATATTTCAAAAGCATTTAATTAATTTGCACTCTGCTTTTCTGGTTTTCCTTTCCTCTTTTCGATGGTTCACAACTGGACTTGCAGGTAGACATTTGCATTTTGGAAAACATTTTAAATTTCGAAGTCACGCCGCTCATATCATTTGAATTATAAGAGCTGGTCTGGCGAGGTCCTGGCTAAAGTTCTAAAAAGAAATATCTTTCTTTTAGAATTACACGGGAAACAGGCTCTCGCAATACCAGACTGCGGCAACTGCTTAAGCTGTCACGAAACTCACGGCCTAGTCGAGACAGTTGGTTGAAAGTTTCGCAACATGTTTCCGTGCGTGACATTCTTGTTTAGTACTTGTTCAGTTGAACTGTCAGAAGCTTCTCGGAGTTTTTGCACCTTTCAACGACGAGATATATCATACATACGTTCTAGCCAAGAGAATTAGAGGTTATTCCTATAAAGTCTGCAGATTTCAACAACAGGCTTTTCACAAGGACAGGTGTTGGAGGCGGCAAGCAAATTCACAACTCGACTATTTTGGTAACTCGATGAATACGTATGCAAAGTTGCACACTATTTACCCGCAGGTGTCGGAGCTCTCCTTTCCATTCGCATCCCTTTTTATTAAATCGGCAGAGGCACTGGAGGTTTAGAACTTCTCTCTCACAGCATTTATCCCTAAAAGACTGCAGTCTTGAAATTGATTCACCATCTATCGGGCATCCTGGGTTTTCTTGTCTGAAAGGAAGAAAATTCAAAGTTTTACGCAACTATAAAATCATTTACTTTGTGCTTATTTCCGGTACACGTGCGTCGTAAATCATTGAATTCAGACGGCATTTCTCATCTGAGACGGAAAAAGTGTCGGACGTAACTCGGAATAATCATTTCATTCACCCGTATTATGAACCGTCTTATGGCAAAAATTTTTTGAGAACCCCATCAGCGGCCAAATACAAATGTCATCAAGTTAGAGTTCAATTTTCTCAAGCGATCTCATTTTTGACGGATAGCAGTAGTCAAAATGGAGAAATGTTAGACCTACCCTAAGAGACGTTCCAAACAATCCTTGCAAAATCGATGTCCACATGATGTCTGCCAGGGCTCATCAAAAACCTTGATACAGAACGGGCATTTTAGCCTATCGTCTACTTTGTTTACGAATTTTGTGTCCACCAATTCCTCAATTTTGGTAACCATAGTTCACTCGGAGTTTTCCTGTCATTAGAGCGATTCTATGTGAACATACACGTACAAACTTAAGTGTATATAATAAATCGACATTGTACCCACGCATAACGTCATTCACTTGTATGTAACAGTGACGGTTTTCTCGAGCTGCATACCTGCACGTAATGATTAGGCAGCAGAATTTAAAAAAGCGTCTGTTATTAATTAAATATTTTAACTAAACGCTCGAGGAGCGTTCACTCTGGCTTCTTTTATAGCCATGGCATTCACACCAAACACGAGTACAATTATAACATAGCTTGTAAATTCGTGCAATCAAAAAACGCGAGCGTGCTTCAATGAACGAGTTGCCAGGAACCAGATCCCTCTATTATGCGCAAAGGGTTCTGGGATCGCCCCGGGCCAAACATTGCGAGTTGCTACAAAGAAATATATGGCAAAAACTTGTTTTAACGTACAAAAAAACGATTCTGGAGAGAATTCAGCGTATTTTTACAGCCGTTTTATCAGGAAAGGATGAGGGCAATGTTGATTCGGAACAAGCGTAAGTTTTTGATCGAATTATTATGAAATATGCGATAACATGTACCAATAAAGTTCTCTCCATGCGTACGGTTTATAATCTTTATAATAATGTGAAATCGACATCACGTAATGGTTTCGAAATTTCCCAAAGTAAGGTATAAATAAGAGGAAATTACTCAATAAAGAAATTTCAGTTTTAAATAAGTGTGAACAGCCTATTTTTAACATTAGCTAACGTCTTTTCTATACGAGTTGTGGCTTCTGAAAATTTACCTCCTCAAAAGGAGAGGACTGTCGTTGTCAGTGGAGATAGAAATTGTTTTTACCGTGCTATCGCTCTCTGGAGGGACGAAATAAGTGATGAGAAACATGAAGAAATCTGCATGTTAAGTTCTAGTTTTATAGAGAGAAATCCAAAAGAGTTTGAGCCGCTACTCTTCGCTTCCAATTCCGTGGAGGATCATGTCAAGAAAGCAAGATCACAGGATCTTGGACTGAAACTGTAGACACTTCAGCTGTACGTCGCTCGTCAAACGACCCATTTGCACGTTCTCATCGTCGCAGAAAATATGGTACAATTTTGAACCGATTTTGAACCGATTTTGAACACTGATTCGTTTTCGTCGATCAAATCAAAGAAGTGCAGGTGTCCAATCACTTTAATGTATCACGATTATTTTGCTTAAAAAAACCATTTTAATCTCCTTCTGCAACTGTGGGACAATACAAGAACAAAAACTGGCATGAGGTGAGACACCTTTTGGTTAGAGGTAAAAAAATTAAATATATTTATGCCAGACAAAACAACTTTTATTAGAAAATTATCCTCTTACTTAATATGTATCACTCACTGTTAAAAATTTCATCGATCAAGAAGAATTTTAAGAAAACTAAGTGCAAAATTCTACTACTTAAAAGTCAGTGAAAAACAGCACTTGTTCATTTGATCTTGAGGAGCTTGTTCTCTTCATTAGTAGCAGTTATTACTGGATAGGAACAAGTTTACATGGTATTAGATGTCATTGTTGTGGACCCCTCAGTAGCCAATTGTTATTTTTTCGTAGTGAATTTTAAAATTCGAGATTGACGGGAAAGCTTGGCTTTTGACAAGATAAATAACAGATCGAAGATGTGCAAGATGTGACACACACAAATGCATCATGCAAATGTCACATACGATTAAGAGAATTTGACCGACTGCACCACGAGAACTCCCAGGCCAGGATATTGTCTGTTCCTGCAAGCATTTACTGCCACATATCTCCTTGCAGACCAGTGGTATCCACAGTTATCTTGACAAACATTGTATCGTTCCGAGTACAGCCGCCTTGTCTCAGTTCCATACGAGAAATGAATGTAGGGCATCCAGATGCTATGTTCATGTCTAATGTGGGTCTTTTAAAGCTTGAGCTGTTAGGCTCCGGGCAAAAGGCGTCATACGTGTCCCTGATCCTAATAAAGCAACGTATTCACATCTCACGACAACATAGAACATGAACATATGTGTTAATTTGCCAATGCCGTCTCCATTTGGATAGAGACGAGCACAAACTTTATATCCAAATCGTCCTACATGAAAAGGAGGGCTATAAATAGATAGTCTTTCCAGTGACAGCCTCTTGGAAGCGTTGGCCGTGGCGGTCGATCTTCCAAAAGTAGGTGCCATTAAACGATGTAGCTTCCACCATTTGAATCTGCATGTCATGATCGGACAGTTGGATGTGGTGCAGTGCTAGGTGGTGCTCATTCCTTTCCAGTCGGCGCTCGGACTCATGAGTGAGAAACGCGGCGGAGTTTGAACGGTAATCACTGGCACCTTTCGAAGAGGCACAGGATAAATTCAAACGGGCCACTTCACCACGAAGACTGCTCACCTCCTTCTCGTGTTCTCGCAGGGCGTTGATTATTTCTTCTATCTGAGATGAAACGACATTCCCTTTAAATGCCCCAAAACCTTTAAATGCCCATGCAGTTCCTCGGTGGTCCTCTTTTGTTCGATCATGGAGTTTTCGACCATGGACAACTTTGTCTGTTGAGCTGCTAGCTCCGCTGCTTGATTTTGTAGTTGATGCTCCAAAGCAGTTTTCTCTTGTACAAGACGACATATCTTCTCTTCCACCTGTTTTGATTTCTCGTTACATTCATGGCTCGAGTAGTTCATCATTTCCAGATGAGACTCGATATTCTCGTTAATGTGTTCATTGATTATTTGTTTAGTGCCCTGTCAAAAAAAATAACAAATACATGTCACTGTTCTTCTTAAATATTACGCCTTTCATATAACAGTGCATCAAAACATGTGTGCAAAACTAATTTGGATTGTGACTATAAAGATTAGATAAGTTGCTCTTTATATTGGCGTCCGTTACGCGATTTTCTGCTGATAGATCCTTTCTCGCCATTAAGACGAAAGGTAGAACAAAAAAACAAAAAAATAATTAACTAACCTTAGATTCACAGCCATGAACACTGAAGGGACACAAATATTGAGCTTTAGGACAACATGTGGTCACGTGTTCGTCCATCTTGTCTCTTGGTATACCTTCTTCACCACAGTTTAAGATGCATTGGATAGGAAACTTAAGGCAGACATCCAAATGGTCCTTTAAAAGACATGTGAAAAAATGAAGGTGGAGCTAGCTAAGCTTCTATGCAGTTGAGACGATACGATTACATTAATAAACCCTGGACTTGAACCTCAACCTGTATTTCTCTACAGTTCATATTTTGAGACACAGAATTGTCGAGCAAGCGGTTAGTGTTAATCTATCGTTTTCCTGAAGATATAGATTTGTAGTGATATTTTGTTTTTGTTTCATGGATAAAGTTGATCATCTTACCTTCATGTTGGTGTGTCGAACTTCACCACCGCAGTAAATGCACGTCACAGCCCTGTTGATGCAATCATGCTCCCTGTGCGCCTTGAGATGTCTTCTCTCCACAGTTTCACCACACGCTTGACACTCAACAGCACCGTACTGACAGCTATCTTCGTGTGCCTGTTAAAATAAGTTGCATGAAGCTTTAAATAAAAGTGAATGGATGCATACTTTGCATTGCTATTTTGTTATACTCTTTCCTTTTCCACGCTACTTCACACTGTCACTAGCAGGTGGATGTTTAAGGAGGTCACGCTACTCATATTATTCGGATTGTAAGAGCTTGTCTCGCATGGTCTTAAGGTTTAAAATATAAATTTCCTAGTTTGATCGTTAGACAGGCAACAAAATCTCACAACATCCGAATGCAGCACTTGCTTAGTCTATCATGTTTACTAGAAGCTTCTAGCGAAGGCGGAGTGAAAATTTCGCAACGGGTGTTTGCATGCGTGACCAGCCTAAGTTATCGTATTTGCTTTAACTGCTAGAAGCTTTTGCACCTTTCAGCGGTGAGATATACTTCAGCTACCTTCTAGCCATGAAAATGAGAGTTATTTTCCTAAATTTCAGTATATTTCAACCGCAGGGTGTTCGTTATAAGTGTCAAGACTGGCAGGCGAATTCACAATGCACCTCTATTTGTGTAAATACAACTCGACGAAAGTGTATGCAAATTTGTAATTAGATACCTGTAGCCGTGTCTGAGCTCTCCTTTCCATTCGCATCCTTTGTCATTAAATCGGCAGAAACACTGGAGATTTAGAACTTCTCTCTCACAGCATTTATCCCTGAAATACTGCAAATTGATTCACCTTCTATCAAGTATTTTGAGTCTTCTTGTCTGAGAGGAAAAAAATTCAAAGTTAGGTGACAATAGATTTATTTACTCTGCGGTTAATTCCGGTACTTGTACATTCGAAGTCGACAAAATCAGACGACATTTCCCATCCGAAGGGGAAAAAGTAACGGACTAACTCTGAAATCGCTCCCCGGAAATCGTCCGTATGGGGACACTTGTGGCAGAAATTTTTCAAAAATCCCATCAGCAGCCGAAAAGAAATGTAAACAAGGTAGAGTTCAATTTTGTTAAGCGGATACGAAATAAGTAGTAAAAATGGAGAAATTTTTATACCAACCCTAATAGACGTTCCGGACAATCCTTGCAAAGTCGATGTCCACATGATGTCTGCCAGGGCTCATCAAAAACCTTTTTACAAATCGGGCATTTGAGCCTCTCGTCTACTTTGTCAACGAATTTTGTATCCATCATTTCTTCACTTTGGACAACCATGGTAATTCACTCTGTGAAGCGAGTCTCAGTAAAACATCCAAAAACGTTTTCCTCTAATTAGATAGATTCTTTATGAACATGAACACACAAACCTCAACATATCATTAATGTATTGATACCCATTTTGATAAGGACAACGTCACAGTTATTTCTCGAGCCTTATGCATGTAATGATGACGCAGCAGAACTAGCTAATTAATAAAACGACTCTGTTATTCATTTAAGGAAAGCATCCTTTAACAATGAACAAAAGAAAAAAAAGAAGAAGATGGCCTCTTTTTGTTGATATGCTTCCGTTCGAGGAAAATGCAGTCTTTTTCTAAGTTGGAATTAACCAT